ATGGATTTTACTTCATGAACCCTGAATTATAACCATTTAAAAAACACGAATATGAGTCAGGCAGTGGTGGCACACGCCTTTAATCCCAACACTCGGGAGGCAGAGGCAGGTGAATCTCTGTGAGTTCGAGGCCAGCCTGGTCTACAAGAATTAGTTCCAGGACAGGCTCCAAAGCTACAGAGAAACAACCACAAAAACAACAACAACAAAAATCATGAATATGAAATGGCACGTTTGCATTGTCCCATGTGATTCAGCAGACCCTTTTTTGCCTTGAGCTCTGGACCTCTGCAACACTGTCCTTTGGTGTGTGACAGTCACCAACAGTAGCACCTATGTGTTCTGTCCGAGACAGTGTGGCAACTCAGATGCAGAACCCTCCATCTTTAGATCGTGGTCCCTCTGCCTTTGGACTAGAAGCACATGTTTCTAAGGAGCATCAGCTGGCTTCCAGGTCTTTCCTAAGACCTGATTCACTGACTGACATCAATATTGCCTGTAATCCCCCGTTGCATTTATTTTTCTTTACCAATAAAAAATTGGGAGTCAGATATCGGGGTAAGAACCTGAATAATCAGAGACGTGGAGGAAAAGCAACCAGTGACCTCCTATCTCTTCTATTCCTCCATCCAAAAGGACTGAGATCCTCTCTTAGTGCTCCCCGCCACTACTTCCTATCTCTCTATCTGTCCTCAGTCCTCCAAAACCTCTATGTTTAATTTTGGTCAGCTAGTAGCTAGCTCCACCCTCTGATTCAAAGCAAACTTTATTGTCAGAATGCGGTCAAAATATCACACAACAATCCCCCTTTCTTCTCTTCTTTTCTCCCATACTCAACACAGCATTCTATATGTGTAACGGTAGCTTAATAAACACAAACTGAAAGCTAACCCCAGTTTGGACCTCTTCTTGCTGTAGTCCCCTCCCTTGGGATAGCTATTGGCATTTGTTTGTTTTGGTCACAGGCTAGGTGCAGAAATGTCACGAGGCCATCTAGGATAGAAGTGCAGTATACATTGTGAGTATGAGTGTCGCATATATTGTGGGTAACAAACTGAACTTCCTCAATGATGATTCTAGTTAAGTTGACACACAAACACCCAGTACAGGATCTGAAGCAGGGAGGGTGTGGTGGTTTGAATGAAAATATAGGATCCTATGTTTGAGTGCTTAACTGGTCCCTAGTTAGAGGAATGGTTTGAAAAGGATTAGGAGGTGTGTCTTTGTTGGAGAAGGTGTGTCACTGGGGTCAGGCTCTGAGGTTTCAAAACCTCACACTAGGTGTTCTCTCTCTCTCTCTCTCTCTCTCTCTCTCTCTCTCTCTCTCTCTCTGCCTACAACTTTCAGATCGAATTGTGAGTTCTCAGTTACTTCTCTAGCACAGTGCTTGATTGCATGCTTCCGGCCTTGGTGATCATGGACTAACTTTCTAAAACTGAGCAAGCCCCCAATTTAAATGCTTTCTTTTATATGAGTTACCTCGGTCATGGTGTCTCTTCACAGCAATAGAATAGTAACTAAGACAGAAGAAACTTGCTTCATAGATACTGTTCAATAACAAATTTTTAAGCCACTAAGTTTGGGGGTGTTTGTTATCCAGCAATTGATAACTAATACAAACCATAAACTCATATTCTAGATCTTGGCACACATTTTGTGCCAACTTTCAGTACATAGAAGGAAGGATGTTATCATGGACATACGTGAAGCTGACCAGTGTCTGAAGCTCTTTCCTGATACTGAACACCCTCTGAAGGGTCATTTTCCCACCAGGGCAGTCTGTTTTTGACTACTCCACGTCAGGCCATAGTCAGAAAGCGAGACGTCAGATACTCAATGAGTACTCTCTGGGAGGATGGACTGTGAGGACTACAGCCACTGCCGGGCTATCCTGAGCTGATACTATCCCTACTAAGCTAGCATACCTATGACACTTGGATTAAGCTGTCTGTCTGTCTGTCTGTCTGTCTATTGGCAGTTACTGGCATGGGCAGGAGATGTGTGCTCACCAGCTTTGAAATGTGTGTGGGTGGTGTGGAGATGAGAAGGATCAGAAATCAGAGAGCAGAGAGTGCTCTTATTTGGGGGTGACTTCTGTGTCTGTTCAGGGCCTGGGCCTAATCTTCTTGACCTTTGTCCCTCTGGTTGTCCAGATTTCTGATCAATTCGGAGAGCCATCCAATTTGTTTCCATTAGGTTCCCGGTCTACTTAGGATAACCAGATCTGGCTCTTGCCATTTGTTCCTGAGAAACTCAGTAGACGTTTTCAGAACAGAAATATTATAGTAATATATGATAAAGATGGAATACTCTAGGCCCAAGAAGAGTGATCAAGTTCGTGGCTAATGGATTTTTACCAGTTGTCTATTACAATTATAATACTTTGTAATAATTTATTTTTAATTATACATTTTAATTGTCTGTCATTGAAACATTTTATGACGTTCTTTCATGTCTTTTGGTAACGATTTGGACAGTGCTATAATTATTGGATAGCCTCTTTTCATTTAGCACATCATAGTCATTTTTCTGTGTCGGTAAAACCACATTTTAAAAAGGCCATAAAATCTTTGTTTAAGCCTCTGCCTGTGGAAGCAGCCTCCAGGGAGTGTCTGAAATTGGGCCTGAGATCCACCGACTAGTATGAAAGGGGTGGGGAGTGGTGCCTTCATCTAAGCGCTTGGCTCTCTTTTAGCAATTCCACAGCCAGAAAGGGAGGCTTTTCAAGAAGAATAGTGCAGCTACGCAGTACGTGCTCCTGTAACCATAATCCCGTGGCACCCTGCTCACGTTGGGCATTTTTGTTCTATACGTTCACCTCCCATTAATATTTTCACACTTGGCCTTTGTTGCTTGGCTTCTATATTTATTATCTGCCTACTTATTTAGGGTGTATGTGTGTGTGCTCCCAATCATATAGAGAGGCCAGACGTCAGCTTCAGGTCCTTTTCCTCAGGAATTGTCCACCTTAGTTTTTGAAAGGGACCCCCTTATTGTCCTGGAACTTGTGCTTTAGGCGAGATTTGCAGGTCATGGAGTCCCAAGGACCCTCTTGTCTCTGCCTCTCCCCTGTGATTACAAGTGGGGGCGACCACATTCCCACTTTTTTTTTTTTTAATGTAGGTGTTGGGGCTTGAACTCAGGTCTTCGTGCTTGTACAGCAAGCACTCTACCGACTGGGCCATCTCCTTAGCCTAGTTAGTTTTGTGTGTTACTTTTGTGCCCATAAATACCCATCGAACTGGCATCCCTGACGCTCTCTTCCTCTGCTGCTGTGAGAAAGTGGCATTTGACAGCAGCCGCTCACATTTCACTGATTTTTGAGGCTGCCTGCAGGACACCAGTCCCTCCAAGAAAAAGCTTCCAACAAGGTTTTAGAGTTTTATTCCCTTAGCAATGCCTAGGCTATGTAAAAAGTTCTGACCAAAAAAAAAAAAAAAAAAAAAAAAAAAANAAAAAAAAAAAAAAAAAAAGATTAGTACCTTTCATGAGTAAAATCTTGATGACTCTTTTAAGAAAGTTTGATGAGGCTCGGAGCCCATATGTTCTAACTTGGCTACCAACATGTAGAAGAACATGGCTTCCCTTGAACTCATTGCTATTTTATATAAATGAAAGTTTCAGTGTGCTTTACATGCAATGGTCTCATGTAAGTGTGCTGTGACTTGAATTCAGACCATAGCTTAGAGTTACGTGCTTTTTTTTTTTTTTTTAAATAAAGAACAATAGGATGTCTAGTGTGGGTAACTTAAGATGGAAATCAGGGAGAATGACAGCAAGTTCTGGCCAGGCGCTATGGCAGTCTTCAATTAAATCACCATTGGCCCATGCTCTTCAAAAACAAAATAACTAGTTCTCCATTCAGCCGAACACTCCGTGCTTATATGGCCCAATGGTTACCATCATCTCGGGAAGCAAACAGGATCTGTATCATGTAGCTGACATGATTTTGTGTGAAGTCTGATTTTGGCCGCCTAAGGAAAGGGTAAGCTAAACAAAGGGAAGTGGTGAACGCAGAATAGTAACGCTATGCGGGGTCAGAGAGCAACACTTGGCAAATTGTGCCAAATGAGTTGACCAAGCACTCTACTGAGAAATGCAAAGTAGGAAGTCCCTTAAAAACAAAGCCCCAACCCCAACTCTGCTGACCCCAGTAAATAATGTTAAAACATGGGCATAATCTCTGCTATCTAACAAAGAGGCCTAGGATGAGAATGAATAATCCTAGAAAATGTTTTGACGTCTCCAAGAGCCCTTCGTAAACGCACACGCAGTTCGCGTCCCTGCCCTTTGACGATCCGCTGGTCTTGACTGGTGTTCCTAACGTGCCTTTCCCTCCATCAAGTTCGCTCGGACTCCTCATAAACTAACCAATTAATTAATTAGTGAGAGAGTCACTATTTGAAGCGAGAGACTTCGCCTTCAGAAACGGTTTCTAGGGGCCCTTTTATTGACCCGCTAGCGTTCAGGCGTTAGGAACCCGGGGCTCAGCTCCCGGCGGCCCAGCGGAGCTCGATTGCTCTCGCCTGGGCGCGACGCGGGCTCCCCGCGGCTGAGGGGGGGACGACTACACGGCAAGACGTGCGGGCCGCCGACCGGCGGGGCGAGGGTCCTGCGGCCACCGGAGCCCCGTGCCCGCGCCCGCCAGCCCTAGGCCGCCGAGGAAGCCGTCCGCGCGCGCACCCGGCCCGCCCCTCGCGCTGCGGCCCGCCCCTTCGCCTGGCGCCGCCCGCGCGCAGCGTCTCGCGCCGCTCGCCCGCCCGCCTGCCGGGAAACAGCCGCGAGAGCAGCGGCCGTCGCGGCCGCCCGCACCCTTCGCAGCCTCCCCGCTTCACCGCGTCGCCCCGGGCCGCGCGCCCGCCCGCCCGCCAGCTCGTCCGCGTCCCTCGCCGTCTCATCCCGTCGCCCCCGGGCCGCGCGCCCGTCAGCTCCGGGTTAACGCTCCGTCGCTCTCGCCTGCCTGCCCTCCCGCCCGCGGCCGGTCGCCTCAACCGCCGCGCTCCGCCGGGCCGCGCGGCCCGCCGCCTGCTTCCGGGGCGGGCGGACACTGGGCGCCTGGTGCCGGCGGCAGCAGCCACAGCGCCCCCGGGAAGCAGCAGGAAGAAGCAGGGACGAGTGGAGCCGCCGCAGACTGAGTCGCGGCCGGGATGTCCGGGCAGCCTCCGCCGCCACCGCCGCAACAGCAGCCGCCGCCGCCGCCCGCCGCCGGGGCCCCGGGCTCCGGAGTCGCCCTACCCGCGCCCGCGGCCGCCAGCGCCGGCTCCTCTCCGGCCGGCTCTCCCGGCGGAGGTTTGGGGGCCGCGGCGGCCGCCCTGCTGCTCCATCCGCCGCCGCCGCCGCCCCCGGCCACCGCCGCGCCGCCGCCCCCCGCCTCGGCGGCCGCCCCCGCCAGCGCGCCGCCCGGCCTGGCTGCGGGCCCCGGCTCGGCCTCAGGCGTCCCGGCCCCGGGCCTGGCGGCGGGCAGCAGCGCCGCGGCCCCCTTCCCGCACGGCGACTCGGCCCTCAACGAGCAGGAGAAGGAACTGCAGCGGCGGCTGAAGCGCCTCTACCCGGCCGTGGACGAGCAGGAGACGCCGTTGCCCCGGTCCTGGAGCCCGAAGGACAAGTTCAGCTATATCGGCCTCTCGCAGAACAATCTGCGGGTGCACTACAAAGGTACGGGGCGCGGGGTCCCGCGGAGAGATCCGACGGTGCGGGGCGAGGCTCTGGGCGAGGGAAGGTGAGAGTGGGTCCCCCAGGTGGGGAGGAGGTGGGATTCCTAGGCCGGGAGCTGGACGCTTGGAGGGGAATCCGGGATGACGGGACACCTCGCACCTTCCGATTTCCCCGAGATAAATCTACGGGCCGGAGTTGGGTTACATTGTTCTCCAGGTGGAGGGTCAGGCGGTCTCCTCTTACGCAGCGGGGGTGAGAGGCACGATTCCGAGGTACAGTTTCTAATTAAGGGAGCGCAGAGATACACAGGAAGGGGGAGGGAGGCGTGATCTGTGGCGGATTTGTCCCAAATTAGGCCAGAGATTGTCTAGGGGGACAAAAGGACAAGGGGCCCAAGTTGGCCATCATTGCACCTTATTGAAAGCAACCGGGAGGGTGAGAGGGAAACCTTAGGATTCGCTGTTTTCTTTGGGGAGCAGAAACCCGCCCCTCCGGGTGGGAAATGCCCTGTGTTTCCGGGTTGATGTTACATGAAGTTTTGTTGAAAACAAGGGTTTTCAAACATGTTATTTAGCATTCTGAAGAAAATTGGCTCCTATTTTGCACCTGCAGTTAGCAACCTAAGCACCTTAGGCTACTGCTCCCTCCCATCCCCACTTTTCCTTGGTTAAAACAAAGCTTCAAACAAATCGGTTGTATAGGAAATTGTAAATGGCAGTAGGGGTTTTTTGAATTGTAGCTCAGATTGAAGGCATGCGTCTAGTTTACTTGCGTGAAAGGGGTAAAAATAAATGCAGTGGTGTCAGTTTGGAAGCACATTCTGTGTTTCAGGCCCTAAACCTAAAAGCAGGAGCTTTTACATTCCGAGCAGGTTCTTTTTGATTGGCTCTGAAGGAAGGGTCTTCGGATCTTAGTGACAAGCGTGTAAAAGGATATAAACAACCTTGCGATAAGATTCGGGAAGCATTCAGAACTGGGGTTTGATAAGAATCTTAATAAATCTGCTACTATTTAATTGACGAGGAGTATGGCAGCAGAAATCTGAATGATTTGGCTATAAAGACTACACAAAGATAGGCCTTGTTGAACATTCCTTTTTATTCTTGCCATAGGTCCAAAAAAGTGCTTACTATTTCGAACGTTATGTTCCTTGATCTAAGTGGCTGAAAATTTCAAAATACTGAAGGTTTTTTTTTTTCCCCTTTTAGTTAGGACATTTTGTTGATTTCTTCCTGGATTATTACTTAATTTTGTTTTTAAATTTGTGTGAACAGTGAGTGCTATGTTACGAAGTGTTTACTTCTGTTTTGGCTGCCAGAATGCTTTTGTTAGATTTGACAAAACTTTACCATTTTAAATTTGTGGTTTATGGTCAATAAAAAGCTTTTAAAAGCAGAGACTGTATGTAGGGGAGATTAGTGAACAAAGAATCATAGGTTTCCTGAGTCCTGGCAGGCTCTGGCAATATTAGGTATGTTAAAAGAGAGCCTCAGTTTCTTCTGAGTGTTGTGGGAGTTGGGCTACATAGTCCCTAAGGAAATTTCCATGGTAGCTTAAGACTCACGGTTATGGCTTTATTTAACATTATAACATGCCTTGATTAGTTGTATTTATTTCTTTCATGTAAAATTAATCATCTGGGCCAGAGACAAGTGTGTGTTTATGTGGTTGGGGTTTGACTATTATGGTACTGTTTTCGTAATTATTTTTTCCTGTTGGCCTTTTTATTACTTTCTGTTGTGTAACACGGAGATTCACTTTCTGGAAACATCTCTGTTTTATAAACATAAACCATTCATTCTGGAAGAGCAGATTTGTTGTTGTCATATTTTCTCCCTGTTTTTATCTCTTTGTTTCTCATTTCCCCATGTTACAAAGACGGTGTCTCTTTTCTAAACCTTCATCTAGTCTTATTATTTTAAAGTCTGTGTGTTTTCTTTTGTTACTATTTTTCCTGTGTGTCTTTTGAGAGGAAACCAAGTATTCTGGGCAACTTTGACTTAGTAGCAAAAATGAAGTGTTGTAGGTAGTGAATAATAAAACTTAAAAGTCACAAATAAGTATAGATGTGTTATGTAATGTATCCTTGTACTGCCTTGATTTTTTTTAAACACAAAATTGTTATTCTATTGGCATTTTTTTTGTATTACAGAATTTTAAAAGATTAATCATACTTGTTTTCCAAGAATGATGATCTTGATTTCTTTTTCTCTGAACAATGTTTTCTAAGTCGGAATTGCTGATGGAAATAGTTTCTTTAGTGACCTAAAGATCCCATGTCAATAATGACAGATACCTAGATAAAATGAATTGAGTTGCAGAAGAGTCCCCGTGTGTGTAGAATAGTGTATGTTTTTTCTTTGTGTGTGTGTGTGTGGGTGGGTGGGGTGCTCGGGTGCTCCATGGTGCACGTGTGGATCTCACAGGACAAGTTTTAGGAGTAGGTTCTCTATTTCCACCATGTGGGTCCTAGGTTCCCGTCAATCAGACTTGTTGGCAGGAGTCTTTACCCACAGAGCCACCTTGCTGGCTTTATATGAAATTTTTTTGAGGCTTTTTACTTAACAGTCACACATTTGTTATCGAGATGATCCTCTTATTTCAAAAATTGTTGATATTGACGGATTTTTAAGGTGACAGGTTTAGATGTAATTATAACTATTTTTAATAATTAAGAAACATTTAATGAAAATTGGGTTCAGATAACATGTGTGCTATCACTATCAGGATGCTTTACAGAGACAAGTAGATCTGGAAAGTGGGAGCACCTGAAGGTTAGATTTTTTTCAGTCACAAGTCAGGATTAAAAATTAATTTTCTGGGGCTGAAGAGATGGCTCAGCTGTTAAGAGCACTTGTTGAGCTTGCAGTGGACTTGGATTCAATTCCTAGCACCCACATGGTGGCTCATAACCATCCATAAGTAACTACAGTTCCAAGGAATCTGATGCCCTCTTCTTACCTTTTTGGGCATCAGGAACACATACATGTATGCAGGCAAAACACTTTTACATATAAAGTAAAATAAATTTTTAAAAATTTAAAGAAAATTTAAAAGTTTTTGCTGACTCCAAATTTTGTGATCTTTGTTTTATTCTTACGACTTCATTCCATTTGTGTGAGCATAATTTCACATTTCTGAAGACAGTTGTGCTCAAAGGCATTTCCCTCTGGGGGAAAAGGTAACTGAAATGCAATCATGCTTCAGAAAAGTTGGGACTCCTTGGCTGGGCGGTGGTGGCACACGCCTTTAATCCGAGCACTCGGGAGGTAGAGGCAGGCGGATCTCTGTGAGTTCGAGACCAGCCTGGCCTACAGAGCTAGTTCCAGGACAGGCTCCAAAGCCACAGAGAAACCCTGTCTCGAAAAAAAACAAAACAAAAAAAAAGTTGGGACTCCTTGATACTCCTAATTTAAAATGCTTCATACAGACGCCAGAGAACTGAAACTTGAATTTGAGGAAGTGATAGAATAGTGAATTGTACCTTTTAATTGAAGCAGCTTTCAAATCTCTAAGTAGATACTGTTTTTATGTGTGTAGGGTGTGGGGGTAGGGAGGTATGTATGCCTGAATGCGTTTGCCTTGGTGTCCAGAAGAGGGCATTGGATCCCCTGGAGTTGGAGTGAGTTACTGGTAGTTGTGAGCCTCCTGGTGTGGGTGCTAGGAACCAAACTTGGGTCCTAGGAAAGCATAAGGTTCTCTTGAATTGCTGAACCAAGTCCCTGAAGTTATTCATTTTTATATAATTGCTTATAATTTTTGTATTTTTTCTTTATTTTTTTATTTATGTGTGTGCATGCATGTGTGATTGTGTGTTGTGGACATGTACTTGTGAAGGTCTGAGGACAACTTCCAAAGTTTGTTCTCTTTCTATCTTGTGGGAGCTGAGGGATTGAATTTAGATTGTGAGCAGCACTCCTGTTCACTGAGCCCTCTTGCTGACCTTGTTTTCCTTAAATCTGAACAAATATTTTAACAAATGTTTGCTTAAAAGGACAAGGGCCTATTAAGGATTATAGGGGTGCTGAGAAGATGGTAAAGTGCTTGCTATATAAGCATGAGAACCAGAGTTCGGATCCCTACCACTCCAGAGAAAGCAGGGCCTGTCATTGTATGCCTGAAACTCCTGGGGTTTGTAGGGGGGAATATGGACACAGGTGTATCTTGGGGACTTACTAATCAGAGAACAGTCAGTTCCAGGATCAGTGAGAGATCATAAAATAAGAGTAAAGAGTGATTAAGGAAGATAACTGTCATTCTCACAGGGCGATTTAAGAGATCTTTAAATCAAGGAATTTTACTGGGCATGGTGGTAAACTCTTGTAATCTCAGAATATGTGAGAGGTAGAGGTAGGAGTTCTAGGCCAACCCAACCTTCAGAGCAAGATATTGTATTAAAACAAAAAAATCAAAGAATTAAAAGCGAACTGAGTTTTCCCTGGGAATCTCTTTGCTAAGGTTTTGATAAATTGGCTTTGGTTGAATTTAATAATTATACTCAGAAAAAACTAGATACCAGTAATGATAATTGAGCAGTTGCCATGGGGCAGAAAATTGTGGTTTGTGTGCATACCTTGTTTACTCATTCATTCTTTCATTTAAGCTTTCATTTCATTTCTACATGTTTACTTGGCACTGGTTTCTGGGCTTAAAGATGACTAAAATACCGTCTTTGACCTCACAGAAAGAACATAAAATGGAGTAGTAAGGAAATGTCAGAGGATACTGTGGAAGACAGGAGCATCTAACTTAGACTGACCCTGGGAAGGGGTGCAGTGATTCTCAACCTTCCTAATGCTGTGACCCTTCAATATAAGTCTTCATGTTGTGTGTGTGTGTGTGTGGGGTCCATCAAGCATAAACTTATTTCATTGCTACTTCGTAACTGTAACTGTGCTACTGTTAAGAATCATAATGTAAATATCTGATACGCAGGATCTCTGACAAGAGACCCCTGTGAAAGGGTCATTCGAACCTCTGAGGTTGAAAAACCACTGAAT